GAAGAGCCGGTATTGCAGCAGTGTGATCTAAATAGGCAGGATGTTAGGCATAGCATTAAAACGAAGGGAATTCGATTAATGGCCGGTTCGGGTTGGAAAGCACGCGAAGAAGTGGTCCAGCCAAGAAAGTCAGCAGCTCGAAGGAGACACGAGGAGGAATGGAACGCGGCACAGCTACTGAAATACACGCTGTTTAAAACCACCAAAAGGAGTATTACTGACTGTGACCTCGATTCAGCGTGCTGAGGGACCTGGCGATGCCCGACCACCAGAGAATTGTGGCCACGTAACCGATCCACCGCATCCTGATCCCTGAAATCAGAAACGTACCACTTAAACCTACCATTCTGGACATTCCTTCAAAGGAGAACCTGCATCAGCCCTTTGCCTCGACAGGTTTCCTAGATTAGCTCCGCGTCTCCCGACGCTTACGCTTGATTAGGCACTTGCGAGTTAATTGGTGTATCGGCTGCAGTAAATTCCAAGTGTCCAGTTTGGCTGTTAGTATATCAAGCGACGTCAGGAATGACACTTTGCGAGCTAAATTGCGAGTGTAATTTTTGTATTGCAGAGTAAGGGGATGGTAGGTCGTATTTTTCTTTCTCTTTCGTTCAATTTTTTCCCATTTATCGAAATTTCTCCGACCACTCTTTTTTTTTTACCTTATTGCTAAGGATACAGTACACCCAATTCTGTTTTTACACGGTAGATACGTTCCAGAAAAGACCGTGTAAAAAAAGACACCGTGTACATACATGGAAAAATAGGGGATTGGTTCCATATTCAAAAAATGGGTAAAATAAAAGGATTCGTGCAAAAAAACTTTGACATATGTAAATTAAAAATGATCAGAAATTCAGGAATTAAGAATTGAAAACAGCGATAGTGACGAGAACAGCGTAACTTTGTTCAAGACTGGTTCAAAATCACTAACATCGCTCGAAACATCGAATGAAAGTGTGTAAAAAGGAAATTGAATTTATTTTTCTAGACCGTGTTAAATGAAAACCGTGTAAAAACAGAATTGGGTGTATGTCATTTCCAGAGTCAGCGATTCAACATTTGCAGAAGCTCAACGAGATCTGTATCTAATAGAAAATCAAAGTTTCTTTCGTATAATTGCTAAGAAACCGACATCTTTCCTTTTTCGTCCAATTTTTCATAATTTATCAAAATTTTCGCGACTACATTTTTTCACCTAATTGTGCGAATCTACAGAGATTCAGTATTCACAGAAGCTCAAATAGGATCCATATCTAAGAGAAAAGTAAATTGTTTTTCATCGAATTGCTAAGAGAATAAAACGATTTTTAAAAATTCCTACGACCACTTTCTTCGATCTAATTGCCAAGAAAACAGTGTATCATTTCCATCCTCAATGATCCATGTGTGATCCAACATTCACAGAAGCTCAATCTCCCCTTCGTCCAATATTTCCCATTTCCTTCAAAACTTTTCATATATTCTAACTCAAAGAAACTTCACATCTCGGTGCTCCATATTGTCGAGATTATCTTCAACTGAAAATCTCCATAGACAACATTAACGAGACCTCAATCTCTTCTTTTCATCTAATTTCTCCCAAGTCTATCAAAATGTTTGCCCCTATAACCCGATACGTACGAACAAACTTCAATTTCTCCCTTAGAGAACCACAAGGTTCGACAAGAAACCATAAGACAGCGTCACAGCGAGGTACAACATCGACGGAGGAGCGTAGAAAACGCGCTGGAGGCCATTGTTAAGGTTAATCTTCGGGCATCATGCAAATTGCGACGAGCGAGGCTAGGGAGGCGGCGGACACACCGGTGGCACGGTTACAAAACTCCTCTAATCCCGTGTGGAGAAAGGGGGTGGGGAGGTGAGGGCACGTGTGTGTCCAGTTATTCCACCGGGCAGTTACACCTGTACGACCGGCGTTATTGCCTGTTCCACGGGCCTCGACAATTTCTGATGCGCCGCCGCGCACAGTTGAGCGCGTGCAGATACGTTTACGTACTCCCCCTACTGTCTCCTGCCCACCCATTTCCCCTCGTTTCTGTTACTAATAAGCATGTTTAATGCAGCACGTTCCTCGCGTGCCTTGGTCCTGTGCCAAAGTACGATCCCGAGGTCACATTTTCGCTCTCGACGGGAGAAACGAAACGAAACCACCTCGAGGTGGCGCTCTTCCCACTTTGCACCTATTTCATTTTGCCAATTTTGTCTGTGGAGAAGTGGCGTAGTTTGTGTAAAGTTGATTCGGCTGGTCTACGAAATTTCTTTGCACATCAATGAACCGTCCTTCGATTTTACGTTAGTAATTTTCTTAGCGGAGGGTGTTTTACCAATTCATTTCTAATAAAATTATTCAAATAAATTGTAATAATGGGAAACTGATTCTCCCACTTCGCATCTATTAGGTTTAGACGCGACACTCTTTTCTTTTACCATTTTTTGCTTGTGGAGAAGCGGCGTAATTTGTGCAGGGTAGATTGGGTATTTGAAAATTCTGATTGAGTAGATCTAAGAAACTTTTTTTTAATAATAATGAACCGTCGCTCAATTTTTATCTAATAAAATTATTAAAATGAATTACAGTAATAAAAATTATTATTAGTAATCGAAAACAGCTGGTAAAAAATTTAAGGGGTGATTTTATAAGTCGGAATAAGACGAAAATCGAGAACGAAGATTGAGAACTGCAATTCACCGGGTTCGGTAACGTATCGAGTGTGTTTTATTGAATTTTTTTCGATACACGGATTAACAGTTCCGTTGGAAGAAAGACGGATGTAAAGTAGTTAGGGCGAGGACAGCAGGGACGAGAGCAGAATGTTCACGTTGACTTGTTGCCTCTTTATAAGTCGATCTCGGTGTTGCGACCTACATCGTCGCCGACTGGTCGCTTTTCCCCATCGAAGAATAGCCTATGCCAACGATTTTCGTTTCATCAGCTTTGCAGTATTCTACACCTCTGAATTTATCGTGCTTTCAACTATTATACTACGATTCCTTCACTCTTACTTTCTTCGTTATCATTCTATAGGGTTGCTTTCTAATTTCACACCCTTCAAACATCGTCCATTTAAAAATGAGGTATTAAGAAAACAGAAGATATAGCATACAGGAAAATAACAAGTTTCAAGGTTAGGATTTTAGACAAAATTTCTCAAATTTATATAAAATATATAAATGTATTAAAAGAGTTTCTTAAAGGTGCAGTACAATACGTATAGTTGAGGCCACGATATAGCGAGGTCGTAAATTAAAGTCTCAAGAATCGGCACCGATTGATGTTGCGGCACTCAAGGCCGTGTGTTGCAGTCTGTTTGAGGGTTCCAACAATAAACGAATGGTAGCATATGATTTGGTACTTCAAGTAGAAAATGGTATTTCATTTACAAATGGAAAATATGTTAATATTAAAGCTACACAATCCTTTTGCATTTTCTATCTGTATATAACACGAGCAGGTAAATGAAGATGTTAAAGACCTCAATAAGACCTTTACTTGTAACCGTACTTCCAAAAGCGGCTTTTCCCAGAAGAAAAAAACCCTAAATTGTCCTAGCTGAACTCAATTTTCAGTAAATATATTAGAATCAGTTTGACTTTCGCTGGATACTTCCGCGTCTATCAAAATTTTTGGATAGCCATTCATCTTTCTTTCCAACTCTGATTTGAAGAATTCAGACCAAAACATTTTTCTCTGGCGCCTCTTAGAATACATCTCCATCTGAGAGTTTTCCACGATAGTTTCTCTCTCGAGAGTCCTCTCAAATTCTGTATTCATCTCTCAATACCGTCTACACCCATAAATTCGACACTCTCGAGACCAACTCGCTGTAGTTTTACTCTCAGACTCTCCAGTGCTCCTCTCCAACACTACAAACTCAGCCACTCCCGATAAACATTCACACGAAATTCCCTTTTCCACCCATACAAAAGCGAAAAACGAAGAACAACTTTTCTACCCAAATGGAAAATTCATATTCACAGAGATTATGCGATTGAAATCGAACGAAATGGCGGAAGAATCGGTCCAGAGAGCGGTTGCCCGCCATTCCACGGTCCCGGGCGAAAGAACTCGTCACACTGTAACGGTTTAATGAAATGTGCGATTGCACCGGACCGTTCAGCCGTGCCTTTGTACTAGAAACCTTTCACGGGATTCATAATTTTTGCGTCCGCCTCTTATGAGTCGGCCCAGCGTGCTAACCTGAATTCAATGGCGGCGTGATATCGTCAGGGAGAGGTCAGCATCTTCAGACTACACGTTCTACGCGTGGAAAATCAATGGATTGCCTTCAGTGTTCCTCTCTTCTCTCTTGTCTCGTGGTAGGTGGA